CCATCTTTAATTTTAATGAATTAAAAGACTGAATTATAGATTATTTGTGGATGTTTTATGAAAAATGTGCATCAAAAACCCACACCTTAGAAAGGTTATCTCAGTAATAATACTGATAAATATGTGATATTTCTGTACATTAATTTTCCAGTAAGACGTGTTCAGTATCAATTTCCAGTTAAATTATTCACTCTTCAGTCTAGTGGATGATTTGCTTTGTAGAAAATGATAAATCTGAGTAATTAGCTTAATTTATGTTATGAAACATGCACAGTGGAGTTTTTAATCTTTGATTCTGTATGTCATCTGAAGTGATGCTGCTGTAAGGAATGATCTGTGTGCTATTTTGTACAATAAAATAACTTACAGAAACTATGATATGTCATTTCAAAAATACACTATATAGGCTAATGCTTGAAAATTTTGTATAGCAAAGCTACTATATTAAATTACTGAAAGTTAAAATAAATGATCCTTTTCCTCACTGCATTGCTTTGAAACATCAATAAACTAGTGAATGTCACTGATGTAAGGTTAACAGTTTAAGTCACTTGTCAAATAATTAGTACAAATGTTTTGTATATACATTAGCAACTAATCTCAGTAAATGTGCAAGCAAACAACATGCTCTGAATCTGCAAATTATTTTGACACTTCCTAACAATTTTACTACGTATGTGTTGTCATGAATGAAACTGGTAGTTTTTTAAAATCAACTCCATAATTCTGAGGCTGGCTGTTTCTTTACAGAAGTCTTCCAATGCCACTCCCTTAGTCAGTCAAATTAGAAGAGTCTTCACAAGAAAATACAGGCTTGTCATAATATTTAGAACATGATAAGTTTTAGTAGCTTTTTTTTGCCATCTTTAAAAGAAATACTGAAAAACCAGAAAAACTCTAGATGCTTGCATTGGAATTCTTTGGCAAGTGTATCTTTTTCATTTGCCTCTTTTTTCAGTATATTTTCTACACAAATTTTCATATTAGACTTGTGAAACAGTTCCTAATTCAAGACAAAGGGAGGTGTTAGTGCATATGAAGCATCATCCATATGAAGCACAAACCTGGATGAATGAACTTTGGCAGACCTGACCTTCCTTTAAGCTAGTTTTTTGTAGGTTTGAAATGGTTTCTTTGCTGTTTCCAGGATAGCCCAAACCATCAACACTGTGTATGGAAAGGGTTACTCCTGCAGAAAACACCTGTGCCTGAAGCCTTTTTGTCATTATCAGAAGGACCAATGTCACTGGCCCTGACAGTCACCCATGCACTGTGCGTGCCTTAGTCCTTTGACTATTCTTTGTGGTGCTGCTGTGGATACGAGGCAATGCCCGAGTCAGACCAATTCCCACCAGCACCAATCAGTGAAAGGAGGCAGGTAAGGAACTGGGAAGTGCTTAGCTCTTGAGGTACCCCCACTTCTGTTTCTCAAGACCTAGATCTTCTCTATGGTAATTTATATGAAGCAAACAGCCACCACTTTCTGGGACTCAGTCTGGCGTATCTAGGGCAGCATAGTCCATTTCTCCTGCTGGAGTCTGGATGGTAGACTAGCATTCAAATCGTTGTTTGGGGTAGGGAGGGCAGGGAAATGAGATCATACACATTCCCTGTCTAAGACGGAGAGAGGATGAGGGGAAGCACCATTCTACTCAGATCCTCCTACCCAGTGTCCAGAGAAGACAGTGCTCAAAGCCTGAAAGCTTTATAATTCCCTACATAACTGTTTCAACACTTTTTGAATGGACAGGCCATTTTTTGCAATGGGATGTGAATTAAGAGCCTTGAACCACCTGTATACCTCAGGCTGTACAGTGCTACTGCACTGATAGTTGTGCCAAACAAGTGCTCAGCAGAGTAGCACAAAGTTTTAGAAAGGCACATATGTGCAAAATGAGTGTTTAAGAACATACCAGAGTCTCTTGATGCTACAAAAAAAATCTCAGGAACAAACCCCAGGAACCTGAATTAGAACCTCTGGTCAAAGATGTTTTGCCGTGTTCCTTCTTGCTTTTAAAGTAAGCATGCCACATTTCCTTTAGTAATTGCAAAAAGGAGTAAAAGGAATATAATTCTGCAAATCACTAAGTTCAGTATGATCTATGATTCTATGAATCCCAGCCCCAAACCTCATTTCTAAAATCAAATCTCAATATAAACATGAATTACATACTTTGAAGCACAGCAGTCTTAAAAGAAGAATATTTCTTAATTGGCAGAGAGACAAAAACTTAGGTAGCAAGATACTTTGTGTGTCAAAAAACCATAGCCACCATTGAAGTTAAAGGCAAGGGAAGGTGAGATAAAGTAGCATGATGACAATTATAGCATTCTGTAGCATTCATTGTGTCTCCATCATGAAGACCCAAACTGCCCATCCGATCAGAATTTTACTACTGCACAAGAACATAATTTTGTTATCAAAATGCTTAGGTAGAGCCACAGACTGAAAATCAACCCTGAGCAGTCCTATCCCATTCCCATCCCTTTAGCTACTCATGCGACCCCTAACACTAGAGCCATATCCCATATCACCGGCGGGTGGTCTCATGTTAGGTACAAGGGGATTCGCCCCCATCCACACTCAGGAATTGCTTATGATGCTGTATGGTAGGTTATTCATTAATCCGGAAGCAATCCTGGAATTATTGATAATGCTGTATGATAGGTTATTCATTAATCCAGAAGCAATCCTGGTGGATCCTTCTGTTTGAAGTTTGGTAAGCAGGGCAAACAATAAAGAGAGATAGGGATAAGGGAATTGTCGAGCTAAGCATGATCAGAGCTAATAATGTCAAACTGACCCTAAGAGCCGTGCCAAGCCATGGGAACCAAGCCAAGTACACCGGGAATTGACCATATTAGGATAGGAGTTCAAAAGTTTAAAGAGGAAGACTCATCAGAAGACCCTTGCCCGCGAGGAAGGACCACCAAGAATAATCCTCAAAATAGATGTCTCCGCCCACGCTCCGCCCACACCACGCCTCTTATGAATATGATGTAACCCTGCACCCAAGACTGTATAAAAGCTTGCTTCTGTCATGAGATAGCTAGAAATCCCTTTTGTGATTTCTCCGACGCGTCGTAATAAAATACCTCCTGTCTATGCTGACTTACTTGAGTCTCTTAGGCAGTTATTCTCGCCTTTTGGGGCAAAATTCGGCATCAATCATGTATGTCCCAGTTTAGAGAGCATCTCTCTCATGTGTATTCTGAATACTTAGAACAAGTAAATTAATCTTCTAACAGACTTGAGAGACTGAATTGCACTGGATAAGGAAAGCAGGCAATTCCTTACTAAAGGTAATAATTTTCTTTGTAAATGAATCATTCAGCCCATCACAATGATTGCTGTCATATGCAGATTAATGTGTCATTTAACTTCTAGAATGCTACAGACCTCAGCTGGGGAACGAATCTCATCTCTGTTTCTGATGATCACACAGTGTTAGCAGAGGAAATGACTTTTGTTGGTATTGAACAAGACTGACAAGCTGGAACCACGGTCAGTGCAACAGAGCATTGCTGACAGATGAGACACTGCCCAGTGCCTGTTGCTAAGGATACACAGAACAGCCACAGTTAGCAGAGCTCTTGGCTGTCTTTTATCCCCCAAAATCTGTGGATTAAAATCAAACCAAGTTACACTTACTAGGTAGCTGCACTCAAAAAAGCAACTCCAACAAATAGCTACAGATGCATATAAAAATAGACTGCTTCTAGAGCATCTTTGAGCATCTAGAGATTTCCCTATTCCAAATAGTTAAAAACCTAAAAAATACATTAAATGCATTTATCTTCATAGTCTTGTTATCATCTGTCTCTTTATTACTCTGTTCTTGATATAGAAGACAAGAATCAATAAGCAGGGGTTATATTGCTGGTCTCTATCAGCTTCGTATTAATCAGTCTGCTGGGCAAGGTATCAGTAGACCACTACTACAACTTCTTAAATTTGTCACTGTAACAAACAGTATCAGGCTTATTGGCCACATGAATTTACATAATGTAATCAGGCCTATCATATTCACTCTGTCTAATCTGATGCTTTACTGTACACAACAACCTTGATCTTGGGGTGTCCTGTGTAGAGCCAGGAATTGGACTCACTTGTCCTGGTGGGTGCCTTCCAACTGAGTATATTCTATAATTCTATTAACCTCTTATCTTGCCAAAAGCTAATCATTCTTATCTTATACTCTATCATGTTTCTTTTTCTTGCAATTTTAAACGGATTTCCTTAAATTTATGAAAATGCAACTTATCTTTCTTCATATCACCTACTGGTCAGAGAACGAGCTGGTTTCTGAAGAGCAGAGGAGTGAAAATAGTCTGTAACTCCTGCTTCAGAAGTTCTCCATTCTGGCTCTAGGGGCCAGGAGCTGCTGGAAGAATTTTTTTCTTGCTGTCAAGAAATTGACAGCCACTTGGGTGGCATAAAGGCTTGTGGCTGATAATCACAATCAGTTTACACCCTTGCCTTGAGAAAACTTGTCTGGTGTTCACTCTTGCCGTCCAACACTTTGCAAGCCTCTTGTACTCTCTTTTTATAAGGCTTCACTGCTTATAAGCACATCACAACTCACTGAGAAACTCAGCCATGGATGATAAATTTTCAGGCAATATTATTATTGCCATGATTATATGCCAGTTGTGACAGAACAGTGTGCCCCAGCATGAACAGAAGATAAAAATAAATATTTAGCTGAATGTAAAGAAACTTTTTTCCACCAAGTGTAAACAATACACTATTAAAGAGAGAAAGGATAATGGCACAGCTGTCTAATAAGCAATGACAGCTTGTGTATAATAGCTCTTCTGCAGATTCAGGCCACAAATTTATTTACACTGTCCAGTGTTTCTGTGTAATGGTGTACATAGATATTCTACCTCAGGAAAATGCTGTCTCTGGTATTAAGATCACCCTCACTGACACTCCAGAAATCTGTGATAGAAATAGCCAACAGATACACATTCAGTACTTAAGACTCAATACTTACTTTCTGGCAGCTCTCAATGAATTCATCTATGGTAACTACTCCATCTTTGTTCTTGTCCATTTTCTGTATTTAAAAAAGAAAAAAAGTACAGGGTTTGTGTGGCCAAGCTTTGGTAGCAGGAGAGCTACAGAAGTGAGAAGCTGCCAGAAACATCCCCCATGTGCAGCAGAGCCAAAGCCAGCCAGCTCCAGGACCTGCTGCTGGCCAAGGCTGAGCAATGAGGAATGATAACCTCTTCAGCCCTTTGTTAGATTATCTCTGCCCTGTTCATTTGAGGCAGGGAGTGAGGGAGAGGCTTTGGTGGGTGCCTGGCACCCAGACAGGGTCAACCCTCCACAGTATGTTTCTCCTCCTCAATTCCTGTGTGAAACAAGTCCTTTTCGTTGTTCATTTCAGTTATATGTCAGCATAGGAACAACCAGTCCAAAAGTCATAGTAAGTGGACTATGCTTAAAGAGCTTTTGTTGAAAAAACAGGGTGTGATGAGTAGGTCTGGGAAACTTGGAATGGAACCACAGAGAATAGAAAGGATTACAGAATTGGAAGGATATGTTATAACAATGAAAATGTTTATCTGCTCGCTGAGCAGTCTTTTCAGCTTGTATGTTATGTGACCTACCTGGAAAAATGTTTCCACATGTTGTCTAGGTGCATCTTCTTTGAGAACGGGATAGGTGCATTTCCCCATCATGTCGTATATTGCTTTCATGATATCGAGCATTTCCTGAAGAGGAAAAAATTCCATTTCTGCAATGTAATGTGCATTTTCACCACCAACTCAGAAAAACTTGCACTGTTTGGTGAATCCCCAGCTGAGCATCCCAGGATGGGGGCCCCAAGGACATGCTGACAGTGTGGGCATCCATCACCCCAAGGGGCTCCTGCACTGCCCCTTCCATGGCCTCTTTTCCAGATAACCTTACAGTTCTTGGACACAGAAGTGCTGCTCTTTGACTTCTGGAATGTCCACTGCTTTAACTCAGAACATAATTTTTTAGGATTTGCATTTTAGAATAAAATTCTGGAATTCACCTAGGTATCTTTTTTTTTTTTTTTGACTGAGCAGATTCAAGGAGGAACTACTTAATTCTTAGAAAATCTAGCATCTGATTTCAGCTTTCATAGATGTGTGATTTCAATTTCAAATGATTATAATATATGAAAGTTCATGGATTGTGGGAAAAATCTCTCAATATCTCATGAATAAAAATAAAAAGAAGTTCTGTAATAGCAAGTGAGTGGCTAAAGCACATCACCTTCTTACAACTTATTTTCCCTAAATAAAATAAAAACAGCCATGAGCACACCTGCACATATGCAGAGTCATCCTCCTTTCATATCATAATCTTTGAATTTTGAGTGGCTTGTGAAAATTTTAATAATTTCAAAAGCAAGTCATCTGTAGTATGCTAAGAAATTTTTGACATACATTCCTCTTTTATAATGAATCTGAAGTGTTTTCTAAAAGTGTAAAATTATAAGTGTAATTTATATCTTTTCATAAACCCCACTTAAAAAATAAACCTCCATATTTTGATGAAATGCTCCTTTAGTCCCACTTATTTTAAGTATGTGTTTGAATCCTTGCAGAATAAAAGATGTAAGAATCTTTCTTTATAAGTCCTGTTTCAAGTCAAAATTATTAGAAGTAGATTAATAAAATAAGTAACAACTATTGTCCACATACTTAATTCATTTTTGTCCAAATATCCCACCAATCTGTTCTAGGAACTGTATGGGCAAATATGTAGGCATAAGTTGAAGCCAACTATTTCTGTACCTGTTGTGTTCAGAAACATAATTTCTGAAGAATTCTGAACTTTTGCAATTTCTATAAAGACTTTCCCTTTTCAATGTTCATATATGCCTTTAAAATAAGACAATTACTCTAATTTTTAGTGTGTCTAACTTCATAATATCTGATAACTTGTTAGCACATTCAATTTGACAATGAAGCCATTCTTCCTTGAATGCAAGACTTAGCTAACAACATTTACTTTCAGTGATTAATAAGAAGTAGATCTTACCTCTTTAGTTATATATCCATCCTTGTTTATATCATACAAGTTGAAAGCCCAGTTCAGTTTCTCCTGTACTGTCCCTCGGAGTAAAATTGAGAGACCCATAACAAAATCCTAAATAGACAAAAGGTCTTGGTCAGTTTGGAAATGAGCAGTTTTCCTCAAAAACTCAGAAATCCAGAATAATGCATTTGTCAGAAGTACAAAAAGATGTGTTGTTTCAAATTTCTTTACTTCACTGTGAGTGCTAATGATTTCTGGATTAACAATCTAGGCACTATTTCCTACACTCATAATTAATAAGTAAATTGAGTTATTTTCTATAAAGCAAACATAATTTTCTGTTAGTGGTTGTAGCCTCTAAAAGCCTAACATCTTACATAAGCAGCTCCCATTGAAGTGAGTACCAGGAAAAATCCATCCCCATGGTTTAATGGTCCAAGAAAAGCTTAAATAGTAGCTAGATTAATCTAAGCACAGGAGACCAATTTGGGGAAAACCATGTACTAAGGAACATTAAATTCTTGTTAAATGTCTACCTCGTTAAAGTGGAATATGTAGTTCTCAGATCTCTTAGACCAACCTGCTGCAGCCAATATTTCAAACTTCATGTGCAACACTGCACACCTCAATTCTTATTACTTTTATTGGAAGTATGATAGGGAATAATAAATATATTACATGTCCATGTGCCTTTTAATGTTTTTGTGACCCATCAATGCTCTATTGCTGCAGAGCTATTCCACAGAAATTATTCAGAAGGCTTTTGAGATTGTTTATATGTAGTATTTGGTTATAGATTTTTGTTTCATATTAAATACTCATTTGACAGCACAAACCTCACTTACATTTACTGAGCATTGTCCAGATTGAAGAAAATAGCAACTCCCATCACCTCTCTTCTGTGTTTCTCAGCATGTTAATATTTTGTAAGCAATAGCGTTTTTTTTTCTTAACCATCTCCTCCACCTCTTTTTATTTGATAAGCATATGAACCCATACATTTGTGAAACTGCTTTCATAATACATTGAGCAGAATATGGCAAGTGTGTACATTTAAATGTGTCTTTCTACATTGCTTGCAATGACATACAGGAAGTGTTAGAGTAACATTAGAGACAATAAAAGCCAAAATATTTCTTATTTGCACCAGCAAGGTTTTGCATTTTGTCTAATGCAGGAACAATGGAAAAGACTAGACTGAGGTTAGACATAAATTTAAAAGGCCTGGTGCACCAGAAAATCAAAGAAATATACCTGATACTCTGAAGTATACACCGATATCATGGACTCAGGTGGTCTAGCAGGCACAGACAGCTCTTCTGACAGCTTCAGTCTTTTTAGCAATTCAATTGACATGCTCTGGGCTTTCTTAGTCTGTCAAAATTTCTGTCTTATTGGCATATGTGCCCTTTGGGGTAAATGGGTACATGAATCCTGAAAGAATTTTGTTCATCTTGTCTACATCTCAATGACTAATTGAGGGTCACAGGGTTAAATCTCCAAACAGTTCTTTACCAATGTACTATTAAACATTAAATTGTTCAAGAAACTCAGAACAGATTTGATCACATTACAGCATTAGCAATTAACCTTTTTCATTCAGTACCATGTCTTCAAATCTTTTCTGTATAGTTTTACGTTCTTGATGTAGCTTCTCCTTAAGTCCTTTGTGGAGGTCCTCAGTTGCATTATTTTCTTACCTTATATCTAAGAATTGTGAATTTGTTTTGGCAGAGCAACATTTAAAAAATTTATCTAAAATAAATCCATTTTTCTTTTCTTGTTCAATTCTCTTTGTTTCTTTCTGTGGTGCACCACTTGTGTTAGCTGGCTTCCCAGAATCATTTCTACCCCCATTTCCAAGGCTATCCTTCTATCATCAGTTTTAAAAAAAAAACCTTGACTTAATATTGTTTTTTATGGGATTGGGAGTTGTTAAAGAGTAGAGACAACTCAAAAACCTTCCAGGTATATGCTCTAAACATTGCAGCAGTGAGTTATCTCCTTCCATATTGCATCAACATGTTTTGGGATCACACATAGTTCAGGTGCATTGCCTTTGTCTGAGTGTTGTACAGGAGTAATATCAGAAACAATAGAAAGGATTGTTCATAATAGGAAGTTGTGATGAGCTGGATAAGGACCCAGTTAGGATGGGATGTCTTTTCCACACACTTACTTTCAAGTAACTGAAGGACACAGTAATAGAATCACACAGAAATGGAGTATCTGATTCAGTGGATATAGGCCAAATCCACAGGGTATTTTGGGCTAGAGCCTTGAAAGGCAAGATGCTCTGCAGGGTGGAAGGCAATGTGTGTGACAGGAGCAGTGCAGCCATTCTGTGTGTTAAGCAATAACCCAGTGCAGAGAGCCACAGTAAAGCAGCAGTGCAGAGGGAAGCAGCTACACTCAGGGAGCAGCTGCCCATCTTTATGCACGAAACCAGCAACTCAGTGATGCACAAATCACGCACACCATTTAGCAAAGAGCATCAATTCAAGTCCCCATTACAGTATTAGAGCACCCAGATGCTGTTTTCCATCCTGGTTTAGACATGTAATTTCTAGGGAGAGAGGAATTCTACTTTTAGAACTTGTTTATTTTTAAAGAAAATTTCACCATACTCAGATCCATACATGCTCTGAGAGTGCTGCCACTGCCCACTGAGATGGATGGTCCTGCTCAGCTGAGCACCTAATGGGGAGAGGTGATTTGATCTAGGGTGACAAAGGAGCCTAAAACAGGAAGTCTGAGCTGAGACAACTCTAGGTTGGGTCTTTCTTCAGTCTGTGACAGTGAAGTTAGAAACACAAAGCCTCTTCCTTGGTACTTTGCTTTACTCCTTTCCACAGTTTCCTGTTTGCAACTTGCCAGTTTCCTGCAGAGCATGCTAATACTTGTTAAAACCTCCTTCTGTGCCTAATTCTGAATCTTCAGGCAAGGGGGATGTCTCACTGAGGGGTTGCAAAATGCAGCATCATTGCACCTGTACCAGGGCCTGTGTGTACTCAGAGCCTGCTGACATTTCTGTTCTGCATACAGCTGTAGAGAATGTCTGGTTGTGATCTGGAATGAACTTAGATTTGTGGGGCTTTTGTCAGCAGTGATTAATTATCTCCTAGCAAGGTTGTTGATGACATTCTGATTGCTTTATCTCTCAGTAAATCTTTGGGGATAATTAGTTCATTAATAAATTAATTAAAAAAGCTTATTAGTGTGCTGTCTCAAATCCATAGGAAAGCATAAAATTATTCACCTGGTCATGTGTTCCTTTATATCTTTTTCAGAAATAGGTAGAAGTGGGTAGGCAGAACCTTAATCCATTTTTAAATTTAGATTTTAGGATTTTGAAAAGGAATCAAGTGATGGCACAGAAGTGGTGGAGGCCTGGTGTATGTAAAACAAAGGTCTAAGAGAAGGAACTTCTTCTAAAAGGAAATGTATTTCTTTGTAGCTACTTTAAATCAGATGGTGTTAAAATGCCTATGAGATCACCACTTACTAAAAAAAAATAGCTCATTTCCTACATGACATGGACAAACGTTTTTGTGTTGAACCCACAGAATCATGCTTGTGAACCTCATGAAATTCAATGGGGCCAAGTTCAAAGTCCTGCACCTGGATCAGGGCAATCCCAAGCCAAAATAAAGGCTGGGCAGAAAATGGATTACAAGCAGCCCTGAGGAAAAGGACTTGGGGATATTGGTTGATGATAAACTCAACATGAACCAGCAATGTGGGCTTGCAGCCCAGAAAGCCAATCATGACCTGGGCTGAATCAAAATAAACTGGACCACAAGGTCAAGGAAGGTGATTCTGTCCCTCTTTGCCTTCATGAGACCCCACCTGGAATACTGCATCCAGCTTAGGGGCTGAATGACATGGACCTGCTGGAACAAGTCCAGAGGACTGGAGCACCTCTGCTATGAAGACAGGCTGAGAGTTGGGCTTGCTCAGCTGGGAGGAGAGAAGGCTCCAGGGACACCTTAAAGCACCTCTCATTACCTAAAGTGGGCCTGCAAGAGAGCTGGGAAGGGACTCTGCACAAGGACATGTAGGAACAGGACAAAGGGAATGGCTTTAAACTGACAGAGAGTAGGTTTAAATTAACTATTAGGAAGAAATTCTTCTCTGTGAGGATGGTGAGGCACTGGAACAGGTTTCCCAGAGAAGCTGTGAATGCCCTATTGCTGGAAGTGTTTAAGGTCATGTTGGATGGGGCTTCAAGCAACCTGCTCCAGTGGGAGGTGTCCTTGCCCATGGCAGGGGGGTTGGAACAAGATGACCTTCAAGGTCTTTTCCAATCCAAGGCATTCTGTGATTCTATGACTTAGTTAACTATTGCCTTCATAATACTGCCCTGGACACCACTTTTATTATTAGTAAAATATGAAGTAGTGTTTGACCTTAAGCATGGAAGTGAGTTAGCATGCTTGCTAATTTATTAACCAATAAAGTTTTGTTTTGATTAAATATGACAGAAGTCTTTAAATATCTCCATTGTGTTTGGCCACAGCACTGTGCTTTAAAGCACTGAGAATTTGTGGGATTATTTAATGACTTTCAGAAAGGTCACATTTAAAGCAACCTCAATCTGCATCTGCAACAAATGAAGGATACTGATTTGGATATTTGCATGTGTGTGCAATGAGCTTTACTTTGACAATACGTCTAAAGTTACTTAGCCTCCGTTTTTCTGACTGTGTAAATAGTTTTGAGGCCAGATCTTTATTTTGGCTCAATGACAATATACATGCATCAAATAAAAACCTTGCTTTTGTATCTGTCTCTGTCTAATGAAAAAAATAACTTCACTAACATGCCCAAAGAACTCTCCAATAGTTGGGTCACTGGGTCTTCAGAAACTCTGTCATATTAAAACAAAACTAACTAGTTCACAAAACAAATGAAATAAATTAGTCTCAAAATTAATACAATCCTGGGATAAAGAGAGATAAGTTCAAGCACCTAATTTTATAAGTTTGGTCTTTAGCTATATAAATCCTTAATTTAGATATCCTGGCTTGTTACCAAAGAGCATATGGATTTAAGGACGACAAAACTCTAAGGACTCTAAAGACACAGCAATCTCACCAAGAAGCATCAATTGAGGTCTGCATTTAAGTTGTGCTCAGATCTAACTTTTCATTGTTGATGGTTGAAAATTTGAGGAATAAAGGGCAAAAAGCAAAAGTAAATTCTCTTTTTTTACCTACAACTCCAGCTACCACTGTTTCATGGGAAAATGAGAGTGCAACACATAAAAAAAAAAAGTCATTCAACAAAATAATTTTGCTGCCATTTCAGGTTTTGATAATCTTCCTTTATACAGGAGATAGCCAGAGTGTTTTCATCATAGGTAATTACCTTAAATTGTATTTACTCCTACACTTTGATATAGAAAGTACTTTGGAAAGAATGATTATTTTTTCTCCAAATTTCTAAACTACTCCTCTACCTTTTGAGCTATTTACTTTTGTTGTTTTTCTAATGGAAATTAGAAAACTAGAATAAAGATTGGAATAGAAAGAAAATGGCACAGCAGGAAAAAATGAGATGATTGTATTTTGCACATTTCACAATATCTTCTTCTACATTTTGCAGCTATTTTCATGTGATTAGGAAAAAAACCCATACATTTTAAACTTCAGGAGGATGCTTTTAGAATGGCCATCATGCAGTTTGTAAGTATAATGTTTCTACAAGGACACAGAAGCAAGAGTGTTTTGATGGCAGTAGAGTTATGGTGGATTCAAAGTTAGTGCAGATAATAAGGAAATCTGGATCACTCATGTCTGCCTTGATATTGAACAAAAGTTCAGCACCTCTGCTTTTATTTTCCTGATTTATTTTATTCCAAAGCCCTTTATTCATGCACAAACCTGCACTCTGAGATAATCAAAGCGCTCCAAATCCAGTGCATTTCTGAAGACTTTCTGCCTGAAATACAAGTGTCAACAAATTGACCAGAAAAGGTAAAAAAAAAAATCTTTCATTCCCATTCTTTTTAATGATAATTGCAGAAATAATTTACTTATACTAAAAGTAATTTTTCTCAGTGTGCCTACTGTAACTGAAAGATGGGAAGTTTGAGTTAGATATACAAAATAAAGTCTTCACTGGGAGGGTGGTGAGGCGCTGGCACAGGTTGCCCAGAGAAGTTGTGGATCCCTATCCCTGGAAGTGTTCAGGGCCAGGTTGGATGAGGCAACTTGGTCTCCTGGGAGGTGTTCCGGTCCATGGCAAGGGGTTTGGAACTGGGTGATCTTTAAGATCCCTTACAATGCAAACCATTCTATGATTCTGTGATTAGATCAGAAGAATCCTTGCATATTACAAGAAGACATGTATGTACAGAAGACATGAATTAATCCTCCATTCCTGCTCCTAGTGAGTGTATTTATCACAATCCAATCAGAAGTTTAAGGAAATAATTAGTTCATTATAATCAAAACCAAAAAAAACCATGACAAAACAAACATATTCTTTTCAAATGAATTTTGTTTTTTTAATTCCACAGCTTAAAATATTATCTCCTTAGCAGTATTTTGTTCACCCTGTTCTCATCTACAGTATTGCAGTAAGGTCCCTTTTTTCCATATTATATTGTGTGGATGACATCAGCCTTACCAGGGAAAGGCAGAACTGGGAAAAAAGATTGGGCAGTTACATGGAAGAAGAATGAATTTGCAACTCTTGTGCTTTTAAAAAATTTGCTTTAAAGCCTTTTTCTAGAACTTTCTGGAAACTAAGTATGAAAAATTAGATTTTGGCTGAGTCATCTCCATAACATCAGTTGCAGTTCAGAAATCTCCTCTTGCAAAGGCAGAGAGGGAGAACTATTTTAGGTAACTTGTGTATAAATTAGGTTACCTTTTAAATTGACAGATTTTTAAAAAATATTATGTAGTAGCACAGTCTCAGTTACCCTTATGGAATACACAACTGTAAAGTAATGACTTTTCTAATTGCATTGGAAAAACTTAAAAATTGAGTCTCATCCCTAAATTTTCCCCAATGTGAGCCAGCCACCAAAGTGGACTTCATTACAAGGAATGGCAAAGTATTCAATTTTATAGAAATAAGCCATGGCATCACTTACCTCAAAACTTACAGATCCATTGTGATCAGTGTCAAATGCATTAAACAGAAAATGTGCATATGTTGTGGAATCTAAAATTTAAAGCAGAAAAAGGATTCAGAGTAAGTAAATCTTATTTAATAAAATTTAATTCTATTAAAATTATTTGATACCAAGATATATTTTATTACCAGAATTTCATAGCAAGACTAGCTTTCCAGTGAAATTTAAACTTCCTTTTTGGCAGGAGATAAGGGATAAGATATAAGTGCAAAGAAACCAAAAATGAAAAATTCTGTCTGGAATATCTCTATTCATTTTTATTCTTGTGTTTGCTAGCCACTGGTACCTGAGCAAATAGCAAAGATGACTTATTATTGCACTCAGAAACAGCCTGTTTTAACAGGAACACTGACTGTGACAGGGATCACATGCCTGCAATGAAGGCTGTGTTTATTTTCTCCCGTTAAATGAGGGAAGCAGACACTGCTCTCACCACACCCCACATGTGCTGGTTTTGCTCTGCACACAGATCTGTTCCCCAGGCTGAAGCTGATCTTTTCAGACAGCTGCTGGTGCTGTTGTGTCCTATGCTCACCCACAGGTGAGAGGAAATCCTCTCCTGAGAAGCAGATTCTTAAAGCTGGCTTGCTGCTGAATTCCCATGATCGTGGCATTAGGGCTTGGAAAAATTGGCTGTGACTCACTAAATGGTCAGTAAGACTCTGAAAGATGACCTTAAACAAATCATCCCTTCACTATTTGCATACTTACTAAACCTCCTCCCCAGTGCATATTGACTCATTTCAGAAACCCACACAGCATGAATATAAATCTGTCAAGACTGTAACTTTTGTAAAGATCCTTTCTTCTATTTCCACTGAATGCCTTCTAAAAGGCACAACCTGCTCCAGGAGTAATATATTGTGAGGAGAGCACTTATCCAGAGACAGCCCTCTGGATGTAAAGTAGAAGCTGCTGGGGTTAAGGGAAGTCAGCTTATCAGTCCTCAGTGATTTTCCTTCCCTCAAAATCATGCAAATTAATGAAGGATGAGGATTGTTTACTTTTAATACTCAATTTTCCCTTTTTACCTCATATGTTTACAATAATTTTAGGCTAATTAACATAAACCTCACAAATTATTAATAAAGGGCAAAGTGTAATGAAATCAGCATCCCCTTTGCAGAACAAACTCCCTCTCATGGAAAAACCTGATCAGTGCTGAAATACCATTTTCTGTTTTCTTGGCATTAACCCATTTAACATTTTATATCAATCCTGCAAACCTTTATTTTTCACAGCCCAAAATACTGTTTTGTATTAAACTGAGCAATAGGCTGGCAACACTCAGCTGAAATGCCACCTTGACTTGAGCAACCAGATATACCAAAACTGAAAGCTTTGTGCTTCAGATTCAGACCTGAAGAAAATTCTCTAGTCTTACTTCAATATGTTTATTCTGTATGATGTGAGATAATCATAACAAGAAAAACTACAATCTTTAAAACCTGTTAGCACATTTTCAGAGAATTAAATCCCCACCACCACTATTTGAGAGAGTCATTCATTCTTCCATGTGTCCAGTAACCACCATAATTGCTTAAGCACAACTTGGCAGACACATTCCCACTTCAGCTGAAAAATGTAAATTTGTTGACTAGAGTTTATATTTAGCATTTTAATAGTCATATTTTCTATAATCTACTGAGACTTCTGTTGTGCAACAGAATATACTATGTAAATCATCTTCAGGGAAAAAATGAGTTCTAGAGGTATAATTACTGTAAAAGGAATTTTAAATACCTTCCTATTCTCTTGACATCCATTTCTTAAAAACAAGTGAAATATTCCTGATTATTTTCTGTAGATGTACAGAAAACAGAAAGGGATTTTAATTTTGTTGCCCATACATTATACAATATACTACTTTTTTTGTATGATGGTATATGAGAAAAGGTCCCTAGTTCAAAAATATTTTTTTCTGGTAACCCCTCTGAAAAAAAAAAAAATCAAAAGCTTTTTTCAGAGTTGTTTGCTCAAGCAATTCTGATCTGAAATTTTGCCTTCAAAACCACAAAAGGATGAGGCATGCTAGTATTTTAATTAGAGCTGCTTAGTCTAATTTCCCATTTCCCCCCCCCAAATCTTGAACATTATTCATTTTAGACAAAATCTTAATTTTTTAAATGAAATTGTATTTCATTCAATTTCTTTCCAAGGATCTGATATCTCAACTAGTAGGCTAATTTGCTATTTTAACAGGTTGAGATAGGAACAGCTCTTAAATTAGAATTCCCTTGAAAAACACCATCAAAGCATTTTAAACACCAGAGGAAAAAACCAGCAATCATCACACATGGAAGAGTAGGACTTATCAAACTACAAGCATGGTCTAATTTGTTCAGAAGTGATAAAGGAGTGTAATAATTATTCAGTGTGTGGATTCTTATCTATGACCTACTGGGTAGGGATGAAAAAATCCCAACTTTCATTTCAGGTGATCCACTGCAAAAATGCAGGGGGTATATTCATTCACCTCTATGGCAGTGAATCGAAAAATAAGTTTCTGGAGTGCCCTTTCTGACATGGAAAGTTTTTTACAAAGCTACTTTTGCCTTTTAAAATACATTACTTTTGCTGCAATCCAGTGTCATTTCCTTTCCTTTGTTATTCTTGTAGCACCTTGTCTGATTTGTATTTCTCCTGTACCTGTCCTGTCCTGTAAAGTCTTGGAAGTTGCTTGAGGAAGTGACTTGCTGGATGACATTGAAAAATTTCTTTGGTTGCCCTGAAACTTAAAATCTTATAGACATAATTTTGTTTGTTCAGATATGAATTATGCATTGAATATATGAATTGTCATAATGATACATTGTGTTGTACCTGGTTTTTCATCACACAGACAATTGGAGCACAGACCTACATGTTTTAATTTGCGGAAAACATTCAAGATTCTTCTTTCCTCTTTAATACTGGGATATACATAAAATCATTATTTTAAGAACAACTGAAATTTAGAGGCCTCAGCTGGACACATAATTTTGACAAGACCTTAAAGATTTAAGAACTCAGTCTGGTTTCTTAACTAGACATCCCAGTGCAGTTCTCACCTCCTCCTCCAAAGGATGCCACTGCCCTAAATGCCAGAGGAAGATCAGCATTAACACCAGGAATAGGGGTAGAAATAAGACATTTTGTACATATGCATTTTAACTACATTAATAGTTTTTCTTCTCTGTAACAACTAGATCTGGACTAATAAAGATTAGTCCTTTGAGATTACATTTACTCTCACGATATCTTTTGACTTCACTTTTAGAACAGGTGTTCTTTCTCTTTGCCCATAAAAAATTCTGGGTGCAACAATAGGAAATATGATAGATTTTTTCTGTTAAGCATAGTAAGGGTGTAAATCACATAGAATTGTTTTCACTACCCAAGGGTAACTACAAAATATAATATTACAAACTGTAATTGTTAGCTTGGTCTAAAAGTTTACAAAGAGAAACAATCAGTAGGCAGGTCAACCCTTCTAGCCTTTTGTTCATTTCTATTGAGTGTGCCTACTTCCTAATAATTTCAGAGATGGTAATCTGCACTGAATGCTGCTCTTTACCTTCTAGGTCTTTATTCAAAATTAAACTAATGGGGAGATATTTTGTTCCTACCAATTAATGTGGGGTTTAAAATAAAGAATGAAAAGAAGGAGTTCTGAACAATCCCAGAGAAAAACACAAATCTCAAGAGCTCTGGGAGAAGCTGAAGAGTTGGGACTGAAGGGTTGAGGAAGAATTTGAAGAGGGGTAACTGAATAGCAAATACAAGAGGAAGAAAAGAGAGGAAAAAAATTGAAATTGAAAGAAATCTGAGGTTCAAGGAAAAAAACCCGAAAGTGTTACATATTTTTGTGTTACCTTCATTGCACTAAAAAGATAATGGAAATAATAAAATAGCAAAACTCCTGGAAATCAATTAATTGAAATCAAGGTTAGCATTTAAGAGAAATCCCATAGAATTAAAGGTGCGGTTCTGTTGTTGATATGAGAGGGTACCTGCAGTGCCTCCTATAGTTCCTCCTACTGTGAAAGCGTTTTTTTGGGTAAAAGAGAATGGACAAGAATTTTTAGAAAGCTTAAAGAAAAATAACATACTCAGAGAAACTTGCTTTAATGGTACCCATCACAGGTAGTAACTTCATAACAGTAGACTGACTTCATGTACATACTATTGCATTTCATTCAAAAATACAGATTTAAAAATGTGTCCAACTATCAAGGAAGTACCCCTTGAGTTCAGACAGAGCTTGAGGGAACAATCTTGTTAATTTGAACAAGAGGCCCTTGTCAGACTTAGGAACTAGCAGACATACTGCAGGACTAATTATGTCTGCCAAGTACTTACCTCCCTGTGGAAAGAACTGAGAGTAAATCTCTTTGAAGGTTTCTTCATTGACAACACCACTGGGGCATTCCTGGAAAAAAGTAAATGACAAGAAGTGAATACCATCCAAACTGGTCCACTCAGCTCATGTGTTCAGGAGACCATCCACAGCATGTATGTGACTAACACATTCAAATGTGTGACTGCACTTTCAACCAATCATTAATGCACATTATCACACTGAAGTATCTTCCTAAAGAATTCCCATGAGACAAAAACTCCTTCTACGCCATAGATCTCAACACCATTTGCAACCTGAGTGACTCACTGTGCTGCTGTGGGTGGAGCCGTTGTTGGAGCTGTTGTGTCACCTGTGTGCCGTGAGCAGTCGCTCCCTCAGCTGCAATCAGCATTTGTGTGGTACGGAAATCAAGCAGGAATGTAAACCCTTTGGTATTGTTGAGAGAACATGCAGTCACATTCTACTGGAAGAGTTCTATTCAATGAGTTCAAAACACCCTGCCATTAAAGGTCTTGTTCAAACCTTGCATGTGGCATTCACATTCTCTGAACATGGTTCCTTCACCCAGGGTTTTTCTCCTGGGAAGCTGAAAGGCAGCAAGAGGCCTCAAAGAAAGGAAAAACAATTCTTATATAATTTACTTCTCCTGTGTTATGCTCATGTGGAATGTGTTTGGAGTGGTTTATCCAAGGTGATTTCTTGATTGGACTTCAGTGTGAGTTATTTTGACTCAGTGGCCAATTGGGGCCAAGCTGCGTTGGGACTCTGGAAAGAGTCATGAGTTTTCATTAGTATCTTTTTAGCATTCAGTAAGTATCTTTTCTGTATTCTTTAGTATAGTATAGGATAGTATAGTATTCTTTAATATATAAAGAATATATAATATTCTTATTATAAGAATATTATAAATATAATAAAGTATAAAATTAGCCTTCTGATAACATGGAGTCTTCCTCATCATTCCTTCCTTCATTGGTGGCCCTGCATTTACAATACTTGCAGATCCTTTTGCCTCTTTACAAATTTTTCAGAAATTGAAATATGTAACACAGAATATGTAGGAAGTTTCTGAATAGATTGACTACGAAGAAAAAGAAAGGAAGTGAAGGAGAATAAAGAGGGTTAAACCAATGACTTATGCAAAGACGTAGGAAAAGCAGAAGGAATACTGCAATTGATTACTGTGTCAAGCATAAATATCCAAGACCAGAGAACTGATTTCTAGTCCTGATTTTGCCAGACTGAGCAGAAGACTTCGGGCAATGTACTTAATTCTCTTTAAGTCTTAATCCCTTCTCTAATGCAAAAAGGGGGTAAAAAGCCAGGTATGCTCTTTAAAAGAAAAGGACTTTTAGAAACAAAGGAAAAAAAAATAAATTAAGTTTCAAGGTTCATACATTTATTTTTGACTATTAGCATGCTATTTGGACTGAGAACTCAAACATATGTGCTCCTAGTCCTAAACTAAGGAAAATGAATAGCTGGAAATGGACATCAAGAGTAGTGTAACACCTTTTAGGGGTGTAACAGCAACTTTTCCTGTGAGAAAAAATAGTATTTCAATTAGATCAAATAAGAACCATTGAGATATTCATAGTTCTGGCACCTTCTGCTAAGAAACAAATAGTGTAATTTCTAATTGAGAGACAAATGCATGGTCTGAGAAATGCATCTCACGTCTAGGATTATCGTGCTTTTATGTCAATTATCCTTAACTAAATCAGCTTTTCATCATAACTAAGCACATGTGAACATATAGCAAGACAGAATTCTGTTTAATCAAAAAACCAGAAACAAACATCAGTGTCAGAGATACACATACAAAATTATTTGTCCCTGGGCACAGAGGCCGATGCAGGCACTGATGTCCCTGATGCAGGCAGAGCTAGAGCTCAGGTCAAAATAACATTAAATAAATACTGACTGCTGAGCAACACTGCCTTTGGAACCAAAGCGTTTGGGGAATGGGAGGAACAGTGACATGAACCTCCACCCTTCATCAGGTAAGGAGCAATCCATAATCAAGGAGGCATCTCCCTGTCTGTCACGTCTTTGGATATGAGGGCACTCTAAAACATCTCTCTCTCTTACCAGCTATCCAAAAAGACTCTAGTCAGATAGGCCACTATGGTTTCTAGCAGGTTTAAAAGTAACAAGCAATAGGACAAGAGGAAATGGCCTCAAGTTCCCCCAGGGGAAGTTTGGATTGGATATAAGGGAAAATTTCTTCACTGAAAAGGGTTATCAAGCATAGAAACAGGCTGCACAGGGAAGTGCTTGAGTCACCATCCCTGAAGATATTTAAAAGTCTGTGAGTGTGGCACCTGGGGACATGGTTGAGTTGTGGATCTGGCAGTGCTGGGTTAATGGTTGGACTCGATGACCTCAGACATCTTTTCAACCTTGATGATTCTATGATGCTATGATTTCACTATGCTGCTTGTCTTTGGGAAGCCTTCTGGAGTTGTATAAGAGCATGCAAAAGAGCAGTATTTTTACTCGGATTCAAAGCACAATAAAGAAAACATCAGTGAATTCTTCAGATACTCATTGAAATAATATTATAGTTATTCAACACAGAAAATGTAACAAAAGTATTTTACAACCTCCTCTTCCAAGCATATAATGGTATATGATCTATATCACTCACAGACCTGCAGGAGGAAGAATAAACAGCCTTTACCTTGAGATAGGTGTGAGTGTGAAAAAATAATGTGGCATTTCAAAATTTAGAAAAAGAAGCAGTGGCTTCTTTCTGCTCTGTGGGTAATTTCTTTTCAGACAAGAGAAAAAAGAGCTGGGCACATTTTGAACAAATTAAAGAGAAAACCTGTATTTTTGAATTTGTACAGGTCAGATGTTGCCTTTTTTTTTTCCCCTCAGAAGATTAAGGAACAATGGATGACAAAATGCACATTTAAGGTCATCTAACTCTGTGGCTGGTTAAAATGTAAAACAATTTTTTCCCTTTTCTTCGGCTGACAGACGCATTCAAATCATTCTAATTTTGCAAAGAATGCACTCCTCTTTTTTACAGGAAATGCCAACAACTCCATCTCTGTGAGTCCTTAGTCTGAAGCTCTGAAGACTGAGAGTCCCATTTCCTGACTGCATTTAAATTTTGTGATGTTGGAGGAGAATTAGGGATACTCTGCAAAAATTGATATGATTTATTATTTTTAAGTTCAAAATAAGCTGCCAGCCTTTGTTATTAGAGAAATGCATGATCTACATACCTCTTTTAAAGGCAGTCCTTTTTTCTGTTTCTTAATAAGCTCTGGTTTCACCACACCGTTTGAAAGAATCATTGCTTGAAAAGCCAACCTACTTTCAGGTTTAGAGAATTCTATACTTCACAGAATGATATTTTAGCAGAGCCAGGAATGACATTTTGAGTTTCTCTAGCTTGTCCCTCTGTAGCTTCCTCTGTTCTTTGCCAGAGTATTGCCAGTAACATTTTACCTTTTCCATCCTTGAAAGTCTGTAGAAATGTGTCCTAAGGGACATTCATTAAAAATCTGAGATGCTGGCCAATTACATTTACCAGAAATATCAGCTCAAACTTTTCTTTCTTTAGCACGCATCTTTCCTCTGAGACTTTACATGACAGGGAACACTTCTGATCTTGAATAATTTCATTCTAAAAATATATGTGGCCAACATGATTTACCTCCAGGACTGTACTTTTCTTGACTCATAAATCTGGCTTTATTGTGTTTATCAGGAGATTTGTGCAGTTCAGAGAAAGAGATTAAATATTGTAATTGTTAAGTACGCCCCAAGGTTTTATGTCAAGCTATTGCTGACTTCTTCCACTGTACCAACTATAATTAAAAAAATCTATCTAACCTTTCATTAAATTCTTATAAAAGTGAGGGGAAAATTAAATAGTTTGAAAGAAAAATGTGAGGCTTATTTAAACAATTTCCTATATTCTTTCTTTCCTTGATCTGAATATAATTTATTTTGTTACAGCAAATTTCTAATTTACAAGCTTTTAAAATTGCATTAATGTATTAGATTTTCCTTCTGGAGAATAAAAAGGAGGGAATGTTCAACTTGAAGTGAATCCAGTTCTCTCTCTTTTAAAGAGAAAATAATATAAACTGACAAACAGACAGAGAATAATAAATATGGTTCTGCCTTTTGATGATCTCTCTTGCTTCCTATTTCGCTGCTGAGAAATTATACCTCCAGCACATGGTCTTATGAACCACTCCAAACCCTGTAAATTATTCAGCCTCAGACAACTCTCTAAGACAACTCTCCTTCAGTATTTTTTAATATACTGCAGTAGGTGATTCTTCTTCACTACCTAATCAACATCCTTTTCAGACAAGAGGCAAACCAAGAAGACACAAAACCTGAGAAATAGTGAAATGTAGAAAAGAGAATGAAGGAGAAACGAATTCAAAGCTCAGACTTTTGTCTGCTTAACAATTCTGAATGATGGATAAAGCTGGAGTTTTGGCAACTTTGAATGTCTTTCAGTTACAGAATTTTGCATGAAAAATTTCCCATCCCATGCTGCATCTGCTGTTTTAGCTTTCACACTGCTTCATTTTAGATACATGTTCATGTCCATTGATTTACATATCTTCTCTTTTTGCATGTACTTATAAGCTCTATGTGCGTGTGCCTTCTAGGAATATGCCTTCAGCCTCCTTCTCATTCATGCTGTGGAATCTGATCAGATACTTCCCCCAAAGAAATGTAATTACTTCATTGATTTGATTTTAATGAGTTTCTATAATCCAATACATTCATTCATGAGTATTGTAGCCAAGTTACTTGGGAATACTTTTTGAATTAAGGATGTAGTTACTAAATACCAAAAAGGCTAAAATGAAATTTTTATCTACCTTAGAGCTGCATGCCAAGAATAAATGAATTTGTAATTTATTGTAAATTAAAAAGCAAATAAATTTTTAATTTTGTAACTAATTTCCTGGTAGTAAATTCAAATAAATTTATCCATGCTATATTCATCAGGAATAGATTTCATAGCTTATTTATTTTGAAGTGAGAGCAAGTGTGATAAATTTTCTGTCTTGAAAGTACACTTAGAA